TTTATAATATGATATGCTTGCCGGATAATTTTCCCCAAAATGCCTAGATGCACTGTGGAACCCCGAATGTTCAAGATATGACAAGTTTTCTGAAAAAGATACTTAGCTATGCATACAGAAACAAATAAGCCATATGTTCTCTTTATTGATAAACACACGGATATGGATTATAATTCACGTTGAGCATTGAATTGTTATGTATTATTATTCACTGAGCTTGACTCACTCTATTTTATGTTTGTTTCTGTAGGCACTCAACCTGGAGATCAACCTTCACTTGTGGCTTTTGTTACCCAGTTGTCAAACCCTGAGTATCTAAGCCCTTAGATGTTGATTGTTCAAGTTGTGGAGTTTTGCTAGTTTTAATTTGTACCCTAAATGTCTGTTAAGATCGGCGTATATGTATATGTACATAGCTATCTTCAGGTGCACGTCACTGTATATTTAACTGCATTATGTTCTGTTTGTGATCCTGGCATGGTAGTGGTAGCTCAATGGATATATTGTTATAATTATTATTATTTTTGTTTGCTATTATATACTATTAAATGCTTCCGTTCAGGCCCCGTAGATTATATTCATCAGGTTTTATGTCCGCTTTTCTGAGGTGGTCATGCCCAAACTTTTAGGGGCGAGTTCTGGGCGTGACATGCCTTGTGATTAATTTGTGTATATCTGTCTGATTTTCAAAATTATCTGTTACGATTTCTATTCAGAATTCGACATTGATGGCTTAAATGATATCAGAAACCAAAACTAGCTACATGAATAGACTAATTGCAATTTTTAGAATCATTTGGAAAGTTTGATTAAAATTTGATTCAATTTGATTAATTAAGTTATGTTTAATTAGCTTAATGTTCTAATTAATATATTAAGCTAATCCTAGTTGTACATGTGTTTTAAACTCAATCTTGAGCTCATTCTTCTTCACTTGAGTGCAAAAATTTGAGAATACATTTTAGAGAGAGAAAGTGAGAACTTGGAGAATTAGCTAGAGTTTATCGAGATTGTGCAAAAATATGAGTATTTGAAGGCTCTAGGTGAGTTTTGTAATGTGACGTCCCAAAACTACACTATTGGTTGCAGTCAAGGGGAAGTCACTAATGAGTCCTATGGTCAATAACCAAGTAAGATCCCAGATCGTCGAATGAGTCAAATTAGCCTCCCCTCTAAGTCCGGCTTTCTTAGGCAGCGCACTACCCTTTTGACAGATCTTAAAAAGTATTGACACAAGGTCTCATAAGCAACGTTAAGGTTCATACATATAAATATTAGAACATAAGTACATAACAACCACGAATATCCTTAGTTTCAAAAGCTTGTTCTATTACATTACATCCCAAAAAGAAAATTTGCATCTTCATATGAGTCTTACAAAATATCTAGAGGAAATTTCTAACTTTCCTAAGATAGCCAAAAGTCTTCGAAGGTTTCAGGCTCGTCGTCTCCAGCTATAAACTCCTCTTCGGCACCTGGCATGATACGCCGTGAGCTTTGAATGCCCAGTAAACACACACACACCCCGTTCCTTTTTCCCCAGTCCAATACATAATCACAAATATAACATCAAGTAGTAAAGCATGATACTTAAATAAATAAATAAATAAAGGGTTACAAGGTTAGGTGTTAGTAAACTAGAAATCTCCCAAAGAGATTTCGTCCTCCCAATCACAAGAATCGGACGCAGATTATTTGATATGCCCCCTCTTTTGCTGCTTTGTTGCAGAACTAATTTCGGATGCTTACCAACGGTTATATACCGCGTAGCGCCAACTGCAGGGCCTCAAAAGAGACAGTAATAATGGGCCTTGCCCAAATCCCTCCTTACACCAAACCACCGAGAGTCCAAATACAACCGCTCCGTTCAAGGGTTCCGAAAGTCACTTGCGCAAGACTTTAACTTCCGAATAGAGAACGCATCCCAACAATCCATACATCACACATTATCATCTTTTTATTACTCAAGTGATCGAAAACCCAATACCATCCCAATTAAGTTTTCCGTTGAGTTAAATATTTTAAATCAATGTTAGACCAACTTAACAAGATAATAGCATGCAACATTAAGATGAAGAAGGTAAAGAATATAACCATAACACATATAATATCATGCCAAGATATGATCATAAGCTAATAAGCATTGTCATGAACACAGGGGCATAAAACATCCATGCACAACAGAATTTCCAGATTCAATATCACATAAGGATTAGAATGAAAAGGGCTATTTCAGAATTTTTACCGGACTCGGCCTTCCTGTGGTTCATAGAGAATTTAATCTAGTTTCCAGAACATATTTCGGAAATGGGATAGCTTTTCTAGATTTTAAGTTATTTAGAAAACACTCCAGCGCTGTCCAAATTCGTCGACCGTTACAAAAATTTGATTTTTTTGCAAACCGCTCACTGTTTTTCCATAAAACCAATTTTAGTTGAAAGCTAACTCCTTAAGAAAGATTTTGACATAAAATAGAGTTCCAGAAAAAATTTCTACATTTTTCTAGAAATTTTGAAATTTGACTGCGAAAATAGATTTTAAGGCACAATACCCAAAACAAGAAGATTTGTGAGAAAAGAGATCCACTAGGGAAAATACAAGAGAGGTAGAATCAAGACTTAACTCTTATCATTTTTAACACAAGTAACACATCAATAACACATCTAAAAATATTATTTAGAACCCTTAAGAACGTGTATTTGAAAAAGGAAAATGAAAGAGAAGGTTGTGTTGTGGCTTACTTGCTAAGCTTTGAACAAGATGGCTCTCCTTTACCTTCCTCTCCCTTTCAAGACTTTTCTCTTGCTCTCCTTCTTCTCTTCTAGGCCGAATGTGTGTGTGAGTGTGTTGTTTGTGTTTTCCATGCTAGGGAGTGGTGATATTTATAGGCAAATTTTGGTGTAAAAAGACACAAAAGCCCACTAGTTGGAATTGGATGGAAAAGTTAGGATTTACTTGGAGTCTAATGGAATGGGAGTGATTAGGGAGCTTAATCATGGGATTAGGCAATATCTAGTTGGTCCATAGTTGAAATGAAACTAGTATTGGAAACAAAACCCTAGGTTTAGAGGTACTGGGTGTTAGGGTTTCTAAAAGACCATGATTACAATTCTTGAAAATAGGCTCCTCACACTTACCTAGGGTGGCCGGCCATTGGGAAGGGTGATGGGGCTTATTTTTTATTCAATTTAGGTACTAGGAACACATCTTCCAATGTGTGTGTATATATATATATATATATATCTCAATTTGATTGATGGTACCTATAGTATAAAAATACTTGTACTAGTTTTGGGGTATTCTTGAATTTAATAAAAAAAGTGAAGACTTGGAATTAAATTCGTGTATTGAAATCTCACTTATGTAGAATTAAATTAAATTAGGCTAAGGAATCTAATTTGGCTAGGATTTCCTGTTTTGATAAAATAAAAAAAATAAAAAAACTAACCGACAAGATTCGAAATAATTCAAGGAACTGAGGGGCTTTAAGAAAATAATTCAAACATTAGGGCTTTTAAAGAGAATACAAATTTTCAGGGGCTTCACATGTAATCTTAATTCTCGAAGGAATTAACACACAACCCTCAAACATTATCATATCATCGACCATATTCACATCCATTTAAACAACATTTTGAAAATACACTAGAATCCTGCGATCAATGTGACAAAAAACTCACACAATCGTTGCCTATAAACTTGTCTTTCCTAAAAGCCTTTCCAAACGTGATATGATGAATGAGAAAATAAAATACAATATGAAAACAAATTAGGAGTATAATAGTACACTAATATCTTTCATTTACAACTAATAGGTAGGGGACTAAATTTGGCCCGCCCTATTCGGGCCCAAGCCCGGGCTCGGGCTCAGGCTGGCCCATATTGGCCCTCGTGAATTCCCGCCAAAATTCGGGCCAGTCCACGGGACTAGAAAATTAGGCCCAAAGGGTATTCAAGCCTTAGGTGGGCCGCGGGGCAAGACCGATGGGCTTGAGCCTCGGCTCAGGCTGGGGCCGAGTTTGAGCATGCCTAAACATTTTTTTTGTTTTTTTCACCAAAATTTTATTATTTTCCACTAAAAATGACACAGGGCCTTGGGTTGGCCGAGACTCAGACCAGCCTTTGAGTGGGTCAGGAGCGAGTCAATAGGCGGGGTTTCAAAATGACGGCCCAAGCCCAAGTCCAAAGTCTTAGCCTAGGCTCGGGCCTGGGTCTAACCGGGCCGGGCCAGGCCCATCCTGGGCTGCGGGTCATTTTTAGACTCCTACTCATAGGACCTTATGGAACACATATGATTTCAAATTCTGAAAGAATATTGATAGAATTTCACATTAAATAAATTTTTTAAATAAGATTTATAAATAATTTTTGTTAAAAAATAAAAGATAATCTATTTAATGTGAGATGCAATTTCTCATTAATTAAAAATATCTTAGCATCTAATAATTTTCTTAATTTTTCACATGGGAAAATGATCAACTTTCGTTTTCATGAGGTGGGAGTACGACAGCGCCCAAATGGAAAGTACTGTTAAAAGATGAAACCTTTCCTTTCATGACGTGGCAGTTACATATTAAAAAAAAAATTCAGCAGGCAATAGCTATCGTATGCAACCCTATCAAATTTTATAAACTTTTACAAATTTATATAAATGATATCATAAAAATATATAAATTAAATATAAATTTATGAAGATTTATGTGATTATACGGATTTATATTTAATTTATATAATTTTATATAAAATTACATTATTACAGATTAAAACATGTCCCTATTTGACTGTCAGATAGTAGTAGTACTAGTGGGGTTTGCCCTCAAACACACAATAATAACCAATGAAATTATGACCATGTTTTGCCTCACCAACCCCCTTGCTCACCTACTCCCCTCACCCCTCTCTCTCTCTCTCTCTCTCTCTCTCTCTCTCTCCTACCCCTCAAAACTCCCCCCACCTAAACGTCCCCCTAAAACGCCGGCCCCATTAATCCAGCACCTATAAATCCCCCTACATCACCACCAACACTCTTCAAAATCTCTCTCTATCATACGCCCCTCCAGCACCACCACATTTCAGCTAACTTACGCCCCCCCTCCAAAAAACAATGGATCTTCTTCTCCTAGAGAAGACTCTCATAGCCCTCTTCATCGCCGTCGTCCTTGCCATCACTATCTCTAAATTACGAGGCAAACGCTTTAAACTCCCACCCGGACCCATACCCGTACCCGTATTCGGAAACTGGCTCCAAGTCGGAGATGACTTGAACCACCGCAATTTAACCGACTTGTCCAAGAAATTCGGGCAAATATTCATGCTCCGAATGGGCCAACGCAACCTAGTAGTAGTGTCCTCCCCGGACCTGGCCAAAGAGGTGCTCCATACCCAAGGGGTCGAGTTCGGGTCCCGAACCCGGAACGTGGTGTTCGATATATTCACGGGTAAGGGTCAGGATATGGTGTTCACAGTGTACGGTGAGCACTGGAGGAAGATGAGGAGAATCATGACGGTTCCATTTTTTACGAACAATGGTCCAACAGTACTGGTTCGGGTGGGAGGAAGAGGCGGGTCGGGTGGTGGAAGACGTGAAGAAGAACCCGGAAGCGGCGAGCAATGGGGTGGTGCTGAGGAGGCGGTTGCAGCTGATGATGTACAACAACATGTACAGGATTATGTTCGATAGGAGGTTTGAGAGCGAGGAGGACGCGTTGTTTGTGAAGCTGAAGGCGTTGAACGGAGAGAGGAGTAGGTTGGCGCAGAGCTTTGAGTATAACTACGGCGATTTTATCCCCATTCTGAGGCCCTTTTTGAGAGGCTATTTGAACATCTGTAAGGAGGTCAAGGACACGAGGTTGCAGCTCTTCAAGGACTATTTTGTCAATCAAAGGAAGTAAGTCTCTCCTGCTATTTTTGCCTTTTTTACTCTTCTCTATATGCAAGCTTTCGTAATTTTTTTTTGTAAGTAATGATACATCCCACTAAAAGTGGTGCTCTAAAGCACCACTAATGAGTTGACAATCACTTTAATCAAAAAAAAAAAAAAAACAAGACAAACAAGACATAAATAGCCACATCACTGGTGGTGCTTTTAGAGCACCACTTTTAGTGGTCTCAAGCATTATTCTTTTTTTGTAGGTAAAATTACACTTACACCCTTGATATTTTGATTTAATACATATCATCCTACGTTTGAGAAATTACACAATTCTTCTGTTATTGTAATTATTTAGATGAAATAAAAATATTGAACTCATACACTCTATTTTTTTTTGCTTTGCTTCACTTTCTTTTTTTTTTCCCTTTTCCTTTACGTTTTTGTAATGTAATTTTTTTTATTTTTCTACTAGAAGATGTTACCTTTTATATAAGCAGGAGTTTGTGAAATAAGACTATTAACCATAAGAGTAGAAATATAATTTTCAAAACGTCAAGAGGTGAACAGTAATTAGATCAAACCTCAAAGGATGTCAATGTAATTTATCGTTTTTTTTAATTTTTAAATTTTTTGGGGGCCAAATTACAAAAAATCTCAGAAATTTAAACAAAATAAATCTGAAGTTTTTTTTATTTTGTTAATTTAAATCTTGAATTTTTTTTTTTTAATTTGAACTATTTTGTCTATTTTTGTTAAGTAAAATTGATTAAAAATAGATATTTTAATAATAAAAGTTAATGAAAAAATATATTTTAAACATTTTATATATACTAATGATTAAAATATATATTTTTTTTTGTCAATTTTGTTTAACGAAAATAAACAAAACAAATAAATAAAATTAAAAATTATTTATTTTGTTATAAGGATCACACTTTTTTTTTTTTTAAACATCTCCAACTTTATATATATATATTTCATAAAATTTGATGTGGAACGTTTTAATATTTTTTATTTAAATAAAAATTTGAGAGTTTTAGGATTGTCACTACTTTTTCTTCTTTTTTTTTTAATTTAAAAATGTTGTTAAACAGAGGGCTTGCATTTCAAATTTATTAATTACATCATAGAATAAGGAGTTTATTGAAATTAAAAATAAAATTTTGAGAATAACAGATGCTCCTCTTACCAAGGATGTGCCTTTTTTAGGTGATAAATTTGGAAGCTAATAGAGGCTTTATATGCTCTTTGATTGTGTTAATAAACCAATCCTTGATGGCTCTAACAACTATGCTCTTTGACATATAGTTGTTTTTTTTTTTTTTTTTTTTTAAATGGTATTTATTTATTTGAAAATCACAGGAACCTAGCAAGCACAAAGAGCATGGACAACAATAGTCTGAAATGTGCAATAGATCATATTCTGGATGCTCAACACAAGGGAGAGATCAATGAAGACAACGTTCTTTACATTGTTGAGAACATCAACGTTGCTGGTAATAACTTTTTGTCCCCCACTATTTACATTATTGTTTTGTTTCCCTTATTTTTATCTATGCTTTCATCTTTCTCTATATTCTATTCTATTTATTTTTTAAAATGCATTTTATTTATTGGACGAAATGATTTTGTTGGGTTTTGTTAAGTCGCACCTTTCACCTTGCCTGTTTGGTATAACTTATTTAAATTGTTATAAATTTCATTTATTTATTTTGGTTTATATTTATAATTAATTAGGTAAAAATAATTTAAATAAGTTGAAAAAAAAATCTCATAATCTAGAAGCTAAGGGTGCCTTTGACTTTTATTTTTATGATAATCAATTTTTAACTTAAAATAATCTGCACTAAACAAGCTATACTAAGTCGGCCGCATTTTGGATGTAGTTTTTTAAAAAATGGCAAATAAGTAGGACTGTGTTAAAATAATTGGTTATGCTAAAGATTTCAAATGATTTATTAAAATTTTTACTAAATCTTTCATATAAGTGTGAGATCCATAACATTTTTCTAAAATAATTGCACTATAAGTGATTTTTTTTTTTCCAATGTAAATCTGACACACAAAAAAGACTTAAAGTAAACATAAGAAAAACTTGTATTATACATACGAGAGACTTGTATCATCATAAAAATAAAATTATCTCTTGAAATGTAATTTTTTCTAAATTTTTTTGTTTTTGATTGACTTTTTTGGACTTGTGGTTTTGCCCTTTTTTGGCCGGCAAAAAGCAACTTTCTAGCAACTTTCTATAAAGAACATTAAACATAAGAAAAACTTATATTATACATACGAGAGACTTGTCTCATCATAAAAATAAAATTATCTCCTGAAATGTAATTTTTTCTAAATTTTTTTGTTTTTGATTGACTTTCGAACTTGTGGTTTTGCACTTTTCGGCCGGCAAAAAGCAACTTTCTATAAAGACCACTAAACATAAGAAAAACTTGTATTATACATACGAGAGACTTGTCTCATCATAAAAATAAAATTATCTCCTGAAATGCAATTTTTTCTAAATTTTTTTGTTTTTGATTGACTTTCGAACTTGTGGTTTTGCCCTTTTCGGCCGGCAAAAAGCAACTTTCTATAAAGAACACTAAACATAAGAAAAACTTGTATTATACATACGAGAGACTTGTCTCATCATAAAAATAAAATTATCTCCTGAAATGCCATTTTTTCTAAATTTTTTTGTTTTTGATTGACTTTTGGACTTGTGGTTTTACCCTTTTCGGCCGGCAAAAAGCAACTTTCTATAAAGAACACTAAATATAAGAAAAACTTGTATTATACACACGAGAGACTTGTCTCATCATAAAAATAAGATTATCTCCTGAAATGTAATTTTTTCTAAATTTTTTTTGTTTTTATTAACTTTTGGGCTTGTGGTTTTGCCCTTTTCCGCCTGCAAAAAGTAACTTTCTATAAAGAACTTAAAATCACAACTATTGAAGGCACCTCCCCAAAAAAAAATAGCTACAGCTTTTTTCAGGTCACTTATTTTTTCACGGGAAATATAAAGAGCCATTTAATAACTCGTGGCCAAGTTGGCCACTATCATTTATGACTGTAAGATAAATTGATAGAGAGAGAATAAATTGTATGTATTATGATTGATGTATTGGATGTTATACACGGTCTCCTTTATATAGGAGAAAATGGCCTAAGTAGTATACACACTATACAAAACAACATCATGACCTAAAAGGAAAGTGGTCACCGAAAGGGGAAAGGGCCACCGAAAGGGGGAAGTATACACTAAGGAAACAACATTATTAAAGTTAGTTGGTGTTTTACAGCTAATATATATATGCACTAACATATAATACATATACTAACAGCCCCCCTCAAACTCAAGGAGGATAGGTACTAACCAACTTGAGTTTGGAGAGAGTAACAAAACAAGAAAATAAACTGACAAATAAAAGTGGATAGGAGACACTGTATGGTTGTGTCAAATCGTTGTTGAAGACACGGTATGGTCGTGTCACACCGTTGGAAAAGACACTGTATGGTCGTGTCGGACCGTTGTAGCAGATAATGTCTGGACAGTTTACGAGGTCATGCCGGACCGATGTAGAAGCTAACCGGAATCAATGTCGGGACAGTTTACGGGGTCATGCCGGACCGTTGTAGAAGCTGACCGGAATCAATGTCGCGGACAGTTTACGGGGTCATGCCGGACCGGTGTAGAAACTGACCGGAATCAATGTCGGAACAGTTTATGGGGTCATGCCGGACCGTTTGTAGAAGCTTGTGGTGGTGCACCAAGGAGGCGACTTAGGGAGTGCGCCATGGGGTGGCTTGAGTGGTTCTCATGGTGTATAACCATGCTCACCATGATATATGTATAACCCCCCTCAAACTCAAATAGGTGTGAAGATAGAAACCTATTTGAGGTTGAAACAAGGTGAAACAAAGGGATTAATAAAGTGGAGTAAAACAACCAAACGAGTTGGTTGTGAATGGATATTTTTTTTATTTTTTATTTTTTTATTTTTGGAATAAAATCAACCATCATTCAGTAATGCAGTTGCTAAAGAGAAATATTAAAAGAGAGTGGTGGAAAGAAAAGTTTAAAAGAAATGATGGGAAAGAAAAATAAATGTGGGTATTTAAAAGAGTGTAAAAGTAGTTTGGAGAAAACAAATAAGAAGAATTAATTTTGAAATCAAACGTGAAAGGAGGAGAGAGAGGGGACAAGCCCATGTGAGTGAAAGAGGGGTGTAAAGAAAGTGAGGGAGTGGGTTGATTAAAAAAAGGATTGTGGGTTTGAAAGTGGAAAGATGAGAGAGAGAGAGATGAGATGAATCTGTTTGTTTTTTTTTTTTTTTTTTGTATGAAAGAAGGAAGATAAAATAAAATAAATAAAAGGGATAGTGGGATCAGACGGCGTTGTGTGAAAGTGGAGAGTTTGGGTAATATATTATAATAAAAGAGATATATATACATATATAGAAAATAAAGAAAGTTGGGAGAGAGTGGGAAGCATAATAATGAGTCTGTGGTGTGTTGTGTATGGGTGTCTTCTAAAATGGGTGTGTGTATGCCCTCTCCATTCCTAACCAGAGAGAGAGAGAGTGAGGTGGCAGTGTGTGTGTGTGTGATAGTCGAGCCAGGGAGACCGAACCAGCATCACCCTTCATGACTCCATGGCCTTGAAGAGAGAGAGAGAGAGAGAACCCGTGTACCAAAAGTCACGTTGAGAAGAGAGAGGGAGAGTTGTGTGTTGCTCTGTGGTCATGTATGGTGACCGAGAGAGAGTTGATGAATGCATGGTTTGATCAGGCCTCCCATGGCTTAGAGAGGAGTGAGACTGAAACCGGCAGAGCGGACACCACAAGCATGTGTGAATGGTGTGTGTCTGCTGTGTAGCTGGTGTGTGCGCAAGCCAACACCGCGTTGAGTGGGCGGCGTGGCCAGCACTGTCGCGTCGCGGCTGGGAGCAACAGTGAGGTCGCAGATGTCGGACACAAGGCACGCAGGTCGTGCGAGCTGGTGGTTGCGCGCAGGGCAGGTGCGAACCGAGCTCGCAAGCAACCAACAACCGTGATACCGCAGCAGAGTTGTTGTCGGAGCTGGCCAACCGTAGCAGCAGTAGTGGTGTCGCAGACGAGTCGGCGTCGGCGTTGGTCGGCGAAATCGAGCTCCGATGTGCCTAGATCTCTGAGGAGTTGCGTCTCTAAGCCGAAGTAAAGCACCGATGGTGAAACAGAGCCTCTCTGAAAATGTTGAAATCTGGGTTTGTCTTGGAGAGAAAGAGTCAGCTCCGTAATGGCAGCACTTGGAGTAGCCACAGCCAATGTGCAGGAGTCGGTGGCCTTCAGTAGTCACAAAAACAAGCTAGGCAAGGTGGCCTTTGGGTTTGGCAGCCGCGGGCTCCGATTGAAGAAGAATAAAGCTGGGTTTGGTCTTCTGTGTGTGTCGGTTTTTCAGCTTCAAAAAAGATGCCTACACCGAAAAGAGAGAGAGAGGTTGATGATCGGTCTGTGTATCAGTGTGTGAATGGTGATGGCAGCGGTGGTGTGTGTGTGACAGCAATGGTGGCGTGTGTTGCCTCATGCGTGTTGTGTTGAGTGTCTCTCGACTGTGTGTGTGTGTTGAGTGTGTGATAGGAGCTGCTGCTGTGTGTGTGTGCCCTCAATTGATGTAGAGCTCTCGGCAGAGAGCATGTCTAGAGAGAGAAAAGGTGACCAAACAAGTTGGTAGGGAGAGAGATGGGAACATCAGTTCAGGTGAAGCCACTGTGTGGAGTATACAGAGAGAACCCACTGTGTGGCGTCGCGGTTGGTATCACGCTAACATCGGTTGTGGCCGCCAACGGTGTGCAAGTGGCGTGGGTCGACGTTGGCCAATCACGGCGTCGGTGGCTGTCGTGTGGGCCAACGGATGTGCTCGACGACGTGGGTAAGATCTATGTTGTAACAAAGCTGCAGCAAGAAATAGTGATGGTTCACGGCAGCAAGAAGTGTGGCAGCGGAGTGAAGGTATGTGTAGAGGTCCGGCGGGCGGCCAAGGCGAGGCTGCCGCCCGCCGGTGAACAGAATGACTAGGTTCTTAACCTAGCTCTGATACCATGTAAGATAAATTGATAGAGAGAGAATAAATTGTATGTATTATGATTGATGTATTGAATGTTATACACGGTCTCCTTTATATAGGAGAAAATGGCCTAAGTAGTATACACACTATACAAAACAACATCATGGCCTAAAAGGAAAGTGGTCACCGAAAGGGGAAAGGGCCACCGAAAGGGGAAAGTATACACTAAGGAAACAACATTATTAAAGTTAGTTGGTGTTTTACAGCTAATATATATATGCACTAACATATAATACATATACTAACAATGACTCTTCTTATAATTGTGAAACGTGTTGGATGTGTTTCTAAAATTTTTATCATAAATTTACACGATTTGTTCAGTTGTCAAATGTTTCTAAATTTGAATTGTGAATTTAGGCGTTTTGAATAAGAAGAAATGTTAGGGATC